GAATCTTGCTTTACAATTTCCTTTGATTGAAGTTGATTTGATTAATTTTTTTAATATTGTTTACGGTGAAAAATGACAATTTTGTAAACAAATAATCCAAGAACAATCTGGAGACTGGATTAGGTCCTCTTTGGGTTCTTTTAAGTGTGTTGTTAACGTAACAGTAAAATTGGCGTTATAAAGCAGAAGATTAAACAGAAATAGCAACTAATAATCAAACAAAATTTAATAAGAAGTATATGTTTTTTACAGAAATGTACTAAAACAGGAACCAAATTGTAGAAATAGGCACAAAAGTGAACAAACAAAGAAACCGGAATTAAAGTGCAGAAATGTAAATATGCGAGAATGCAAATGTACGACTCCTCACAACAGCGAACAACGACCACCGTGAGTCTCCGGGTAGCTGATGTCTGGCGCGGTGTAGGGTTTCAGCACTTCAGAGAATTTAGGTGCGATGTCAGGGTGTAAAAAGTCATCCCCTGTAAAATGACGCTTTGGAGTATTTATAGGCAGAAGGACCACCACTGTTCTCCTCTTTTTGCGGGTATTTCTTAGTAATTACCTTCAAATGTTGATGCCCATTATCCATGATTGCTTGTGATCGTGCTGTTAGTTGGAGCTTCTTTCATAACCGCTATCACTCATGATTTTCTTTGCCTAGTGGTAAATGTTGATGACTGCTGGTAACCGCTTTTGGATTTTGTAATGACTTGATTATCAAGACTTTTGTTTTTCTATCTTTTCGAGTATTTTTAGGAGAAATATAAAAGACTCATTTAGTGTTATGGCCTTATAATAATTTCTCCTTGACTTCTCTTTTCGACTAATTCTGGAGTTTTAAGAGCTTGTCTTGGTCTCGTGGATTTAGAATATTTTCTTTGCTCATTCTTATTTTTCGAGCAATTATGGAGGGACTCTGGATCTCAACCAGGTTTGTGGAAATATTTTCTGACAATTTCCTGTTTTTCGAGCAATTCTAGAAGGACTCGAGCTCAACTAGATTTGTGGACTTAGAATATTTTCTTGTCAGTCTTATTTTTCGAGTAGTTTTAGAGGAAAATCAACAAGGTGATAAACCTCTAAAATAGCTCGAAATGTGTCATTTCTGATATGAAACTAAAAGGTCTTGGACAATTTTCCAATACTTCTTAAGTTTAGACATATTTTTAAGTTCCTTCCTGACCCTCAAAATTTTGTCGAAATGTAGCTTCCTTCAACATGATTTTTAACTTAAAAAATTTTCTTTACCCTAAACAAATATATTTACAAAATTTAAAAAGAAATATTTACATGTCATAATTTAGTTTGAGAAATTGATTATATATATATATATATATATAACTATAAATATTTCCACACAATTAAAGTACAAGTAATAATGTAAATAAAATAAAGATAAGATTTGATACAATTTCTTGGTTAAGGGTCCTAGTTAAGTTTTATTACAAAATTGAAAAATTCTCTTAAACACGTTAAATGGGGTTGATTCCATTTAAGAAGCATGATAAAGTGAAATATTATTAAATTAGTTATTGAGTTATTGAAACTTAAACTTGAGAATCACCTTACCATTAGGTACATCTCTTTTTTTTAGTGTGTATTATAAAAGATTTTTTTTAAATAAAAATGTTTGTTGGTACTTAATCAATATTTTATGTCACTTAAAATAATCTAGTAGTATTCAATCTGAATTTTTAAGAATTTTTAAAGAGTCCATTAAAATCTGTTAGTATTCATTTGAGACTTTTTATAACTTAAAAATAATATATTTGTATTAAAAAATATAAAAATTTTAAAGGATTGTTATATTAAAGAGATTTTGAAGGACTTTTTAGTGGTATCTATAAATATCAAATTCATAAAACAATCTCATCTAAATCCATCAGATTTTGGAGGATTGTTTGAAGTGACTTTTCAAGTATTTCAAGAATTTTTAAGTGATTTTTTTTATCTCTTTTTTTTTATATGCTTCTATCTTCTCTATTTTTTTTCTCTGCTAATAACACTGCACTACTGTTCATATATAATATTGTACTACTGTTCCCATTCCATTTTCCTAATTGGTGAAAACGTAAATGACAGTGTCATTGACTTGCTCTATTTAGTTGAGTTTGTTCCTCATATATATAATACAGAAAATGCTTAAATTTTAACTTTTAAGTAATAATTATTTTATAACATGCGTTAAGAAAAGAGAAATGTGAAAGCTGAAATTGATATCATGATCTCTACAATCAACTATAGATCTTCAAATAGTTAACTAGCACATTCAGGATTGCCTTGGAGCTATTGACAGGACATATTCCAGCAATGGTGAGAGGGTAAGATGTAAGCAGTTATCGTAATCGTTATGGAAAGATATCACAAAATGTATTAGCCGCTTATAATTTTGATTTGAAGTTTATGTACATTCTTAGGAGGTGGGAGGGTTCAGCTCATGATTCTAAGCTACTAAATGATGCTATAACAAAGAGGAATAGACTTATAGTGGCTCAAGGTAAGTGCTTATTTTTTAAATAATAATAATAATTATTATTATACTAATATTATATATATTGCATATGTAATTAGGTAAATATTTCTTGGTGGATTATGGATTTCCTAATCGACACTATTTTTTAACTCCATTTCGAGGTGTAAGATATCATCTACAAGATTTTGCAGGTCAGGGTAATAATCCTCAAAATGAGAAAGAATTGTTCAATCCTAGTCATGCGTATTTAAGAAATGTGATCGATAAAATATATAGTATTTTTAAATTAAGGTTCACAATTCTTAAGTCAGCACCTTCATTTTTGTTTAAGACACAAGTAGAACTTGTGTTAGCATGTGCAACACTACATAACTTTCTTCAAAAAAAAAGTCGTTCTGATGAATTTTCAATTGAACTAATGGACGATCTTTCATCTTCAACATTACCAGTTAATGAAATAATTTTGAATCTATTATTCAAACCCAGCGTAAGAGCGAGAAGACGTTAATGTTTGGAGGACTAGTATAACTATAAATATATAGGTGAATGTTATTTAGGAGGACATAATATTACAGAGAATTATTATTATTATTATTTATCTAAATATTGTTGTTTTTTTATTATTGTCTTTAAATCTTTTTAAATTTGAATGCATAAAAAAATCTTAAATTCTTTATATAAAAAATCCATAAAATTTTGTAAAGTACACAAAGTCCCATAAAATCTATTAAAATTTTGATTTAAAAATCTTGTAGAATCTATTAAAATTCTGATTTTAAAATTTTTCAAAGTCATAAAAATCTTACGAAGTCTTTTAAAATATACATGACTTTCCTTTAAAATTCTAATCCACTACACCTCCCTTAATTACCGCTTACAAAATCAAGTTTTACTAAGGTTGCTATGATTGATGATTTATGACACTCACTAGTGATGAGAAGGATTTGACATATTTGCTCAAAGTAGCAAAAATTATTTTTGACCAATTAAGAATGCTAAATTAACTAGAATGTGATAAGTTTGTAATTAGGCCCTCTTTTATAACTCAATTATTCATATTTGACATTTATTTGAATTGGGTTTTACACTAATTTAGTTGTTAATTGTGCAGTTTGATATAAAGAGACCACGAGTAGATTTTGGGTACATTTTGGGCCCAAATGAATGGGCTTCAAAGCCTCACAGCAACAAGCACGCCCAGTGAAGCACGAGGGTGCTTCGATGATATGCATGACCGTGCTTGTTTGCGTTAGCCAAACTTATTAAGTTCAAAGGAGTTCAAATTCTATAAATAGAGGGGAGAAAGCATTGTGAAAGAAACCCTTTGCTAAGCACAGATTTACACAGAACCTTTTCTTCAAGAATTCAGATCATTTTCACCATTCTCGTAGGATCGTTGGCACACCCTTGGCGGAACTTAGAACTTCAAGTAGCCATACTTGAAGACTGAAGATTGATTTCCTATTCTAGTTTGCTTTACTGCTTTATTATGGATATGTTATTGATTGTTTTAGTTCTTTCTTTCTACATGAGTAGCTAAATCCATAGCTAGGGCTATGGGAATTATTGTTTATGACTTTATAGGATTTTGATATTTGAATCTAAATATGATTTCCACTTCGTGATTAGGATTTATCTTATCGTTTCTCATTCTTAATTACATCGTCAGGTGATTATACCTCAGGTAATTAATAGATCTATAGGATAAAACGAGAGGAAAGATTAGGTAGACCAAACCAATCTTTATCTTCTAATCGTTATTGAATTAACAAATTCATAGGCTCCTTAGGCTTTTTCTAAATTAATAACCTGCATGACCATTGGGGATATTAACTTAGAGAAAAGAATATTAATACTGCATGACTATTGGGTATTAATAGTATTAGTATGAATGATTAGTAATCACTAGGAAATCAGATTTAGATCTACATAAAAGAATATCATAAAGGATTGAATGAGAACACCCATATGCCCTAGGTTCATCGCAGATAAAGTTTAACCAAAACATGCTTTGTGTTTCTTACTCTTAGTTTTTACAATTGATTTTATAAATTCTCGTCTTGATTAGTCTTGCATATTTGAAGCTCAAACAATTAAATTAAGAAAACTCTTAATAGTTGATAAATAATCCTTGTAGGACAATATTTTATAAACTTAGTTGAAAATCTTTTATTACTTTTTGATGGGTATACTTGCCCTTCGTACAGTATGCTAAAAGAATCGAAGGGCTACTTGATTTTAATTGAGATTTTGAGAAAAGGAGGCTTTTCCTATTTTTGAACTCATCCACACCTTCTAGTGGGTGTAATTGCTGAAGATCGTGCTTGAAATTTTTGGGACCAAGCCTTAATTTCCTATTAAGCATAAATGATGGCTATGAATTCTTGTAACAAAGTTAAGATTAAATTACATATACCAAATATCCAAGGAGAAACTCGGTGTTTTAAAATTTGACTTCATCTTTTTTTTTTAATCGCAAAAGAAATACTAAAGTTTTAAAATCGTGTACAACAATATTAATAAACTATTGCATAATGGGAGGTAAATAACCGTAATCCAGGCAACAAATAATTGTTTGATGGATTATATCCTTAAGCTCATGCTTGTACCTAAATCCCAAATCTTTTAATTTCTTTGATGAAATCTCAGAAGGAACTGTATCATACTTTTTCTCAACAATCCTGCATATGTATAAAAGAATACCATAAGCGATGGTAAAAAAAATCAATTTAAAGGGAAGAACATTACCATTTCTTGTTTGAGTGAGAATTCTCTTTGGCAAGAAGATTAGCCAACATAGACAATGAACAGCTTTGCGTGCAGCATATGTATCGACCATCTGCTTTAGAATGCTCCATCAGGAATATGTGGGCATCACATATATCTTCAATGTGAACTAAAGCGATTGACCCCATTCGCGCATTTACAGCAGATAGTATCTCAAAGAATTCAGTTTCACCTGAACATATAAGATCCATAGATCAAACACGATGACATGATAAATATTAATTCATAAACTCAAGTAGAATTTAAAGCACAAAAGTTTGATGCTATCTACTTTATGAATATGAGCACACTATAAGGCCTAGTCATTCAATACTTTTGGGAAATTTATTTACTATGCAAGATAAGTTTTACACTCTCAATCTACAATATGCAAAGCACAGAGTTCATGAGCACTAACGACCCATGTCACCAAATTTCTAGTAATAAATAGAAGTCATGGAGACATATATTTAAAATATACTTATAAAATTTTCAGTAATATGGCTTTCACTTGAAATAATCACAGGAGCTCTAGTTATCATATATAGTAACAGATCATTCATTTTCCTTTCTTGGACAAGCTGAATAGGTAGTAGTTGCATATATTGATGATTTTTCTATGTTCCCTCGATGAATAACATAATAGCATCATTTGTATTGAAAAATAACCTGCTATAGGCGACAGAAGAACTTTAACACTTGATGGTACATTAGTAGTGAAGAATGGGCCTGCAACAGTGGTTGTTATGACTGACACAAGATCAATGCCATTCTCTTTTGCAAATTTAAATGCTGCTTCTTCTGTTAGAAGCTTTGAAAGTGCATAAACCTGCACCATGGTGTGAAGAAATGCTCAAGGAAGCAAAGTATTAAAAAACAAGCTAGCTTGGGAAAGCATTACCTACCCATCCACTTGCTTGTGTTTTCCATATATGTTCACTTTGGATTTGGCAAGATTCATCAACAACGGGTTTACACTTCCCATTGTCATCTTTGGCAGTAATGGTACTTATTGAAGATGTGAAAACAACCCTTTTCACAGAATTGGATTTCAAGCAAGAATTTAGAAGGTTTAAGGTTCCTTTGATTGCAGGATCAATTATATTTGCTTGAACATAGGCCTCTACAGGTTCAACACAAGGCACAAAGTCTCATTAACCATTTCATATATTGTTAAAAAGCTTTGTGAACTTTGAGTTTCATTTAAAGCATTGGCCATAACATTACCAATGTTTTCTTTCTCAACAACGTCGAATTCCATTGATGCTGCAACATGAAAAACACCATCACAACCTTTTACAGCCTCATTGAAGCTTCCTTCTTCATTCAAATCCGCTTTGAAAATTCTCAATCGGTCACTTCCGGTCCACAATGAAAGGAGATGTAGTGACTTTTCTGTTATATTTGATTATTAAAACAAGCCAAAGATTTATAGATTATTTCTAATTGATACAATATTTTGAGAATAAAATTCATCTTATATGAATATGAGATACTGAGTTTTCTAACAAGGAAGAAAATTATTTGAATTTCACTTGCCAAAGAGTTACACCTAAAATTGGTGGTCATAAATGATAAAATTCAATTTCACTTTTCACCCTTTTAATCAATCATATTCATATTGGACTGCAACGCTATTAAACTAAGGCAAATCATTTTGATGATTTTTTCAGCACTTATTTTTATTATTTCTTAAATAAATATAATATATTTTTAAAATTTTATCAAATTTAATTATTTTACTCTTTATTTAAGAAGGTTTTTTGGTGCCTTTTCATGTTAAGTTTTATATTCTCCAAATACTAAGTACATATATTATATTTCAATCATGCTTTTATAAATTTGAAAATTTATGATGGTGACATCAGTATACAGACCTATGATGGTATAGTTAAAGTTTAATTAAAATTACACTCCACTTTAATCACTATCGTAACATATTGTGACCAATCAGTCCTGCATTATTGTGCTTCAAGATAACTTGTGGTTGGTAAATTTCTCGTGCAACGAACGTGTACTTGAAAATTTAAGTAAAAATTACAAAACAAAAGGGTAAATATAAATTGATTTTGCTAATATTATATTTTAGAGTTGATTTTAAGTTTATAAAAATAATATTTTATTAAAAATTAAAGCATTTAATACTTTTTACATTTTCATGTAATAAATAATCATTTCAATAAGTTTTTATTATACTTGTATACTTTGATACTTTTTTTTTCTTATAATTACATTTCTTGAATTTTAATAAAACTATATTTAATATAACAGCAGTTTTTCTTACATTATATTATACTTTTGTCAATTCATATAACAACATAAAAAGTAAAGGGAATATTGTATAAATAGAAAGGGTGCATGATATTATTTTGTTATATAAATGACAATAAAGTCAGTGTATGATAAAAAAAATGTTGAGTATAGTTTTATAAAATTTTAAAAGACACGAATCCAATTTATTTAAAATATATATATATAATGTCATTGGATAACAGTGAAATCATATAAAATAAAAAATAACTTTTTAATTTTTTTTTAAAAATTATATAAATAAATTGTGTGAATCAAGGCATACTATTGAAGTTTAAACTAATATTAGCTAAATTCAGATAATAATATTTTTTAATAATAAAATAAAACAAAAATATTTTATGTAAAAAATTATAAAGATTCAAATTCAATGCATAGGAAATTATTGAAGTTTACTTGAAATACATAAAAAAAAAAAACTCTAAAAATTGTACACTTAAAAAGCATGCACTACACATTACCCCCAATACATACCTATAAACATACTAAAAGAATTTTATTTAATAATAATTTAATTTTTGATTAATTTATTAATATATGTGTATATATATAATTTATTTAATATATTAAAAAATTAAAAAGGTGTTGAATTTTTTTTATAAAAAAATGAAGGAAATTGTTGAAAGAATTTATATATCTATTTACATATTTATTGTTTTAGTGTGTTTTTTTAATAAACAAAATATATATTATTAAAAATAATTTAATAAAAATTCAAAATATTTTATATACACTGAGAAAAAACTCATAGTTACTAAAAAAAATAAAAAAAATATATTTATACATAACTAAAACGAATATAATTTCATGAATTTAAATATCAATTAACTAAATAAAAGAATAAACAAAATAACTTTTTCTTTATAGAATAATAAAATTTAAAACTTCTCTTCCATCCAAAATACTATTCATTGTTTTAGAATAAAGTTTTCCATCTTCAAAGCTCTTGAAATTCAAACTACGTAGATCCACACATGTTCTAAAATGTTAGAACAGCAAGATTCTTTTAAAACCGTGAGCACAGTAAATTAATTAGAAGCGCAGGCTTGTTGAGAGGAATATGACAATTAACAAATAATAAAACCAGTACAAAAATATAATTAATCATGTTGATTCAAATATAATTTTAAACAAAAAAATGATTTTAATAATAAAAAAAACCAAACCTTAAAATTTTATACAAAATCGTGATTTTGTAAAATTTGAACATGCATCGAAGCATGTCCTGTAACAGACATGCATTGAGGGAACATGAACCTGAATCCAAACATGCATGCTTCGAAATTTCCAATAATGTCTGAGAATCTGACAGGCTAAAACAAAAAAGGGAAAAGAGGGAAAAAGGAAAAGGTCACTAAATTACTAACCAGGATCTCTAACAGTGGCATGAACAGTGTACCCTTTTTGAAGAAGTGTCTCCACAAGCCACGAACCAATATACCCTGTGCCTCCGGTAACGCAGTATGTGGCAAGAGAAGATGCACCGTCTTCTTCTTCTTCTTCGCTTTTCACCTTCTTAAGTGCTTCCTCCATTCTCTGCTACCAAAGCAAAATACAATAAACTATTTGACAGTGGGTGTTAGATGTGGCGTGGCGTGGCTAAGTGCCTTTTTAACAATTTATTCTTTATTGATAATAAAAAATTATGGACATATTAAAATATTGATAAAAAAGAGAATAAGATCTGTATGAAAGTTATATTAATATTATTTTAAATTACTTTTGTTAATTGTTTCTCGTACATTGTATTATTACAGTAGTTGGCGATCGAGCATCCAACACGCACACAGGCTTTGCAATAAACAGTTATAAGTTTGTTTTAAATGTTTCTACTCAGCTTGACTGTGTAAAGCGACAAGCACTAAAAATATCTTTTATCAAAAAATAAATATTAATATTTAATATATATTCATTTCTACACTAATAAAATCACCCGTTAACATAATACATTATAATATTGATAAAGATTCATTATATTTTTATTGACATTTTTTGTTAATATACTGATTTCTTATCAAATTTCTTTTATTAATATTTTTGTTAATATAAAACATTTATATTGTTTTAATAATTTTAAAATTCATTACCCAAAAAATGTTAACAAAATTAATAATTTTTTATAAATAAATAAAAACAAAGACATAATTTAGAAATAGTCATAGTGATATCATTATTCATGCATGGTCGCCAAATGTTACGACCTGACTACATGTGTCGACCACATCCACAGGATATTAACAGGTGGCGTGCGGTGCTATGTAAGAGTTTGTACCACATTCAACTGCACAATTCCGGTTAATTTTAACGATGAAAATTTATAAGAAATTTTATTAATAAAAAATATAATTATAACAATATTTATAAATTTGAAAAAATATTTTATACTTTTTAAATTAAAAAATATAAATTTTCTAATATCTTAAAGATTAAAAAATATTAATTTTTTTTAAAACAAACTATTAACTCTATTTTTTATTAACATTAACGGTGAGTGTTGTTCTATTTTTAAAAACGTAGCAATAGATTTCATCAATAAAAAATAAAATTTATTTTATTCTTTTATAATTAAGAAAATTGATACTTTTTTTATACATAAAATAATTATTACTTTTAATTTTATTTTAATAAATAATAAAATTAATAATTTAGTTAAAAATATTAATATTTTTTAATATTTAAAATATTAAAAGAATTAACTATTAATCTAAAAAAAATATAAAATATCATTTCAAATTTACAAATTTTAGTAAATTTGTAATACAGTGATTTTTAAAAATTCTTAACATCTGAAAGATACAATAAACTTTAGCTAATTTAAATCAAGTTAGAAGAATCCATTTCAAGAACTTGTGCTATTTTCTGGCCATTCCATACAACAACAAAATCTTAATTTTTAATTTGGTTTATTTGTAGGAAAATATAAAGGATGTATATAGGACTAGAAATCAAAATTCAACACGGAAAATGCTCAAATACTAGAAAGGAATATAAATTGAGACTCGGTATCTTGCATCTGGATTTTAGATATCGATGTATCAAATAAAAAAGTTATATTATACTATAAAGGATAAAAATAAAAGTTCTATATATGAAAAAGAACTCATTGTACCAAATAAAAAAATATTTATTATACTATAAAAAGAAGAGATCATTATACTTGTATCAACTTGAGCATGCGCAGGGATTTTTGAACAGAGAATTGACCCGTTCATGGTGGATAATGACAAAATTAAGTTGGAATATTATATCCATTAATTATTAGTGAAAATTATTGGTAGATAATCTGCAAATAAGTATATCCAAATTCATTGACACAACAACCCTATGAGCTGAGTCTAAGCCACAGGGTTAAGGACCACAATTAACGTCGCAGTCATTGACGAGTGAAGATACAATGGTGAACCATTGAATGTAACCTTGGCAATCAGCACACAATTAATATTCTTTTAGTACCAACATCAGTCCATAGCTCTATGCTATGTATCACTCAACCCTTGTTGGTTGCCTAATCCCTAAAATGGAAACTATCATTTAGGAATTCAAAATAATGATGCTAACACAATTTTTGTACTAATTGAACCATCGGTGTGTTCACAATTTGATAAAAAGAGACATCATGAAAATAACATTATACCTAATGCAACTACCAAAGGGTGAATTCTAATGCTTAATTATAGGATAGTTTATGTGACAATATAGCTCAAGTTCAAGTCATGAGAGTTAACAGGATTTTTGTTTCTTTTTTTAAAAAGGGTTTTCTGTTTTTAAAAGTAAATATAGGACAAATTTACATTATATTTTACTTTTAAAAACAGAAAACTCTTTTTGAAAAAGAAAACAAACATATTCTCAGAGTTTGAATTTTAGGTTTTGAAATTTTTCACATATTTGTCTCAAAAAGAAGTATATGACAGATTGGAGGAAAAAAAGTAAGAGGTAAGAGAAAGATTTTAATTTTGTTATTATATTTTAAAATAAAAAAATAAGAAATTTTAATCACTTTTCTTATTTGGTTTAAAGATTTGAAAAGAAATGAAAGAAAAAAAAAATTAATTTTTTTCTTATTTTAGTATATTTTCTAAATGTGAGACTTGAAAGAAAGGAGAATCATTTAGAGCATGTTTTATTTATTTTTTAAAAATAGTTTGTAGTTTTTAAAAATAAATTATACATGTATTTTTATTTTATTTAAAAAAAAACTCTTTTAAAAATTGCAAACAAACATACTCTAAATCTCTCTCTGATTTTTTCAACTCACCTTTAAACCAAACACTCAGATAAAACAATTAAATATTTATTTTATAAAATAAAAAATATATGTAAAAGAATATAGCAAAACTGTTGAGATAAAAGGAAAGTAGATGGTCTTAGGTAAAGATTGAGGCCCATTTGGTCGTTTAAAAAAGTAATTTTCACGCTTTCTAAAAAAATAATACATTATGTGTAAATTTAAAATTGATATTAATGTGAACATATATTTCAATCACATTCGACAAATTAAAATTCATTTTTGCCCAATTGAAAATAAATGTTTCATTTTTTTTATTGTTGATTTTGTTCTAGCAAAATAGAATAATTATATTTTAAGAAAAGATGACCTCATCTAATCATCAATTTTTTCTTACAAAGAATATTCAACTTAATTGTTAAAAATAATGTTATCTTTTAAAAATATATATTTTTAGGTTAAAATTTTCTTCTTTCTGTTTACATCTAAGTGACTTGTACTTTAAAATTAAATATTTTTAAGTTTATATTTTCATGGGAAATTGTTTCTTTTATTTCTAAATTTTTATGATTTATATTTTCAAATTAATTGCTTTTAAACCTATATTTATATATTGAATTGAAGTGTATTACTTGATTATTTTAATATTCTTTTTTACGCACACTTTTTTATAATCTCAATTGTTTTTTAATATATATTTTAAAATTTGATATATATTGATTATCTAAATATTTTATAATCTTAAAGATTAATAATGCGAACAAAATTGTTAAATAATCTACTCTTTCTTTCTATTAATATTGCAGAAAACTGTTGGGGTATATGGAGGTGTGAATACCATTTTTTTTATCTCCCAGGATTACCTCAAAAAATTTATAAAAAAAAATTTAAAAAATAAAATAAAATTATTTTACAGAAAAATGGAAATTTTTGGAAAAAAAACAAGTTTGGCTCACGGAAACGGAAATCTGCAGTATGCAGGCTCATACCCAGCATCAAAAACTGATTTAAGCATAAAAAAGGAAAAAACTCAGATTTTTGGCATTTTGTAAAAACCCTAAATGAACCCAATATAAAATCTCAAGCAAGAGATGCGGTGAGGGGGATTTTTTTCGGAAGAAGAAAGCAAAAAAAATTTTCAGAGAGAGAGAGAAAAAAAATTTAAGAGAGGGAACAACAAACTCTTGAAAATAATCCAAGAAGAAAGGGATAAAAGAAGAGACCAACCATTAACCTCATTCTCTTCATTTTGGTTTAGATAGGGAACGTTTGCTAACTGTATTTAAGGTATTTTTCTCCTTCATTTCTCCTTTCTTTTTGCTTTGCATACGAAAGTTATCTTGCTCTAGTCGAAACTCTGGTAGACTCTTATAAAAATGAACTTAGGAATAGGAACTAAATGATACAAACATAAAGCTATTCATCCCGAACCGCTTCATAACGTTTCATATCTCATGGTTATCTTTTATATATATTATAATTAAAATAAAGTTGAAAGGACCTCTCGACGCATTGAATGTCGAGAGAAATGAGTGCTTGTACCACTGCACTATTCAAAATTGAATTCCAATGCAATATTCGGCGCTTTTTTTTTTTATTCATCATTATATTATGTTAAATATGTTATTGCTTTTTATTTATTTGGGTTTTGGGCTCGATAGCTCACACTTCAAAAAAAAAAAAATCATTTTAGGCTTTTTTTTTTTTAGCTTATTTTTTATATACATATATATATTTTTGTTTTGATTATTATTTTTGTTTTAACTTATTTCAGTAAAATTAGTCTATTATCTTTTTTTTTATATATACCTTTAAATTCAATTTACTTTATTTTACGTTACTTTTATAATATTAGCATTTATTTTAATATTTTATTTGATTTCTATTTCCACTTGTAAAAGGTGTTTCTCTTCATTAAAAAAATTAAATAAAAAATAAATACAGCAAATTACTTTTTATAATTCTTGGATTTTTTTAATATCTATTTCATTATTTATTCATTATTATTGTACCATTATTCTTCTTTGTTATTTTGTGTAGATTTAGAATGTAATTTGATATACATGTCTTGTTTCTATTTGTTTTGATGAATAACTTATGTTTCTTATTTTTATCTTTTTGTTGTATAATCAATAATTTAAATAATAATATAATTGCATCAATTTATAATACTAACGTATAGCTTCTCTATCGTCATGTATTATAAATTGATAAAGTCTATGTGTGCCTACGTTACCAAGACTTTATGCAATATTAATTTATCATGTATTATCTTAAATTAATTAGTTAACCACTTTAATAATAA